TGGACAAACAATAAAACTAAATTATGTGATAATTTATTCACTGAATTTGAGAATTCTCAAATTGGCAAATTTAATTTTAATTTTGATTTTTGCATAATCATTTAATCAGTAACTAACAAGTAACAATTAACAAACTAATAGCACTACTCAATTACTGAAACTAGAAGTAATAATATTGAATCTGCAAAACAGCAAAAGTAATAACTAATAAGTAAGTTTTCAAAAAAAAAAAAAAAACTAATAAGTAATAAACACATACCTATTACCTAGTCTGCTAGAGTGCTAGTCATAGACATTAGAGTATTACACAATTGTCTCTCGTCTCTTCTGTGATCTGTCCGTCTACTCCGTGTATCCGCCACTCTCCGCCGTAATACTCGTACGCAATACGCTACATAAAGGCTTAGTCGCTTAGGGTAATAGGTTTTTGACTTTGTCGGCTTCACATGCTTCCGTGATTCGCTATTTCGCTTGATATATATACATAGTATAATTTTTTTTTTTTTTTTTTAAATAAGGGGCCCCCAAAATTTGGGGGCCCTGTGCGGCGGCCCTGGGCAGACTTGCCCAGGGCCGGCCCTGCATACTGTAAAGTCATGAACTAAATATATAATACTATTACGTATCATACCAAAATCCATGTATTATTGTTGAATATTTTGTCGTTACATTAGTAGGTTACGTATCATACTATAGAAATTAGAAGTTTGACCAAATTATTACTTGGTACGTATGATTGTAAAGGAAATACGCCACAAAATTCGGGAAGTAATGAATAGTGCCATGACGTCGGAGTCAATCATGAGGCTATATTCTTAGAATTTTTATTTTTATTTTTCATTTTTAAGGTAATAAATCTTTAGCTACTGATTTAATTTAATATGCGTAATAATAAATATAAAAGTTATAATAATATTTGAGTTAACGGAATTAGATGAAAGATAATTGCTAACGTTAATTGTTATCTGGTTGAAAACAAGTTAATATCCAATATAATCTTCAACTATAGTGGTTTTACTCAATTTAGTGCTAAATGACTTTTTGTGTGCTTAATTTAGTTCTCGACTTTGATAATTTTACACAATTTAGTCATTTGTTAAAATTTTTATTAGTTGACGGTTAAAAATATGGTCCTGATAGTAATTTTTCATCCTTCATCTCATTTTTTATGATTCATTCTTCTTTCCCTTATTAAGATCCACGCAAAAATGTAAATTTTCGTACCCAAATATTCATTTACTATGTATTTATTTATTTAGAGTTGACGTTGATTTGGGTATGAATATTTGCATTTCTACGTGGATCTTAATATGAGGAAGAAAAAGGAATCACTCCAAATGGGATAAAGGATGAGAAATTACCATTATGATCCTATTTCTAACGGTCAACTAACAGAATTTTTAACAAATGACTAAATTGTGTAAAAACATCAAAGTCGATGACTAAATTGAGCACAATAAGTCATTTAAGACTAAATTAAGTAAAACCACTATAGTCGAGGACTATATTAGGTATTAACTCTTGAAAACATATGCCGTTCAAACAAGTAAAAGAACCAATATTATTAACTGTAGATTATTCCTATGTACATGTGATATGTTGAACGTTTTAGATTGAGAAGCCCTCAACTTATTGGAAAGTACTAAGTAATAAGTGATCTGTCAAGTAGATGCAGTGGTGTTCACAGATTGCAGCGGAGCGTTCTTTGGGACGACTCTCCTAACTGAGACAGGGCGGTTGTTGGCTGCTTAAGAATGGCCCGGTAAATGGCACTAATGATCCCCATTTAGGTGAGGTGCTAGGGGTTAAGGAAGCATTGGCATGGTTGAACTGTTGAAGGATGATGGTTGGCAATTAGATTGCCTCAATGTTTGTCACCTCCTAAATCCTCACTCATAAGACTTTTCTTATCTGTAATCGAAGAATGTTGTAGGTCAGCAATGCACTTTGAATCAGTATCCTTCTGTTTTATTCTTTGATCAGTGAATGTGTATCCCTCCTTGTATCCAACATTTTTTTTCCTATAATCTAAGTTTCTAAACTGGTGTTAGTTTTCAAAAACAAAATGTAGACTTAATTAAAATTTTCATTCTTTAATGGACTGATCGATTTTTGTAAAGCTACATGCATATCGGGACACATGCTGAGAACGAATCTTGTCAATAAAGGATACATGACACTTATCCAAAGGCCACACTTATCCATAGGCTAATCATATCAGTCACACTATGCATCTAACATGCATAACTAAAGTATATAAGAATATGGGATAAATGAGAGGACATTATGCAAGTCACTTTTCTATTTAAGCGAGTTCAACCTCTTGTCCTACCTTTCAAAAAAAAAAAAAAAAAAAAAAAAAACCTTAACCTTGTCCAATGAAATTGGAAAATGTACTTCTAGAATCAATACAAGTGTAGTATATCCCTATAATAAGTTTATGTACAATATTAGAAATATATTAGTAAGTGTTGATCTAAGAGTAATATAATATTTAAGTATTCAACACATGAGGTCAAACTTAGAAATATAATAAATTTTGAGATATTTTATATATCATTTTAGACAAAAATTTGTATGAGACTTTCTCACTAATTTTTATCCGCGATATAAGTTGAATTGTATACAACTAGGTGATTAAATTTGACCTGTCTCACAGATACCTCACTCAAGTGTGACAAAACATTTTATATTTTTGTGTACTATAAAGTTTTGTGGTTGGACCGAAATTATTAACTGCAACGGTAAGTATGCAGGGGGTAACGGAAAAATTGTAGAACGTGGCACGTGTGTTGTTGTCTCCGGTCAAGCAACGGTGCCCGTTGCCAGACACGTGTGAGAGGCAGCCTCCTAAAAATGCAGCTTTTTCCTACCTTGAATATATTATAACACTTTGACTGCCACCATTTCGGCTTCCTCACCTGCTTCTGGTGACGACGGTGCCAACACACAGGTGTCAATTTGTGATACATGTGTTTTTACTCACTTTTTTTTTTCTTTTTTAAATATGACTTTTAAAATAATAAAAAAACACCTACAAGATTAGATCCAATAATACTTGAGATCTGGCTTCAAAATCTTTGTAAAAGTTTTTTTTTTTTTTTTAATGCTACTGGCCCTATTACATTGTAGTATCTGTTCATATACAAATCTTTATAAAAGTTATGTATTGACATTCTCGGTTTGAACTTAACAGCTATAATAACTTAAGCTAGTTTTTTCTAAATCAAAAGATCAACAATACTTAGAACATCGACAAAAAGGTTTAATGGTCTCTTTAATTATGTCCATCTTTGATGGGAAAATTTAGGTTTATAGTATCGATTAGCACTTGTAACTTTTTAGACTAGATACAACTCAAAAACTTTTTAGACAATCTTTGGATTGGGTTTGTAATGTTTTCACAATACCTTGTTTAAACTCAAAACGAATTTGCAATCACTTTTAGGTTATACTCAAAGCAAGAGACACCGATACTAATTGACTAGTATTTTAATATATATATTTTCTCTCTCCCTATACACAAACACACAATAGTTAAATGATTATGCCTCGATACATAGATCAATCAGTTGATCTGATTAATTGAGTGAGAGTTAAAAACTTTAATTTAATACGTTTTTCATGCCAACAATTGTAATAAGCACCCTAGGGAACTTATATAGATCATTGAAACACATTCTATAATTTACTTCATCCACTAAAATTTCAAGTCAAGACTCGTGTTTGCAATATTATCAAGTTTACTGATGTGGACATACACATTTAATTATAATACTTTTCTTTTTGAAATCAACTACGATTATTTTATATTCCAATATATTTATAATATAAAAAAGGACTGCAATTATTCTATAACCTTTTCGATATAAAAGGGAAAACTTTTTGATCGGGATACCATAACACGTTTGTGAAAATTCCACTCCTCAAATTTCGTATGACGACCGCCGTGATGTGCTTATTAAAAGCAGTCTTTTATTAATTGTGCAACGTACAACTAAGTGTGAATATGTTATATTATTGTTGTTGTTTTTTTGTGTTATTATTATTATTATTATTATTATTATTATTATTATTATTATTATTATTATTATTATTATTATTATTATTATTTTCAAATAGAAATTAAAATTAAAAATAAAACTTTTATGAACACCTAAAGTGCTGTTAAATTAACTTGATTTTCATATGTTTTTATTCGAGTATTGCTAATAGAATAATAGCTGGAAAAACTCTGACCAAATGAAATTCTCAAATAATTTAACTCTAAATTAGTGGTCACAAGCTAAAAACCTAATTATTAAGGCATAACAATATGATGACCATTCTGTGATAGATCAAGGAAAATGGTATTTGGGCGTGTACTATTTAATTAATATGATGTTATTTGTAAAGATATTTCTAATCTAACTAGTTTAGACATCTAGGGCAATCACTATTGAATACGTTAACATTTCATGAAATTTTAATAATTATGTAATTAATTAACGTGTGATACGTGATTGGATACATTTCATAGAATTCCAATAACTATGTGATTAATTAAAGTGTGATACGTGTTCGCCGTTTAATAGCCAAAAAAGGGTTAATTAAGAACTAGATATAGGCCATGTTCAGTAAAATAGTTAGTTTATAGGCCAATTTTGACTTATTTGACCACTGTTAATTGTTTGACTTGCTTTAAAAATTAATATAAGTGTTTGGTTAATTCGTTTTTCGAACTCCACTGGCCAAAATGCTAAAATTCAAAATGTTACTCAAAACAACTTTTTAATTAGCTTTTTGAGAAATTATACCAAACAGCTACCCGCTAACAACTAATTCACCAAACACCTTTCTAGAATCAGCTAATATTATCAACTAGTTATACTCTCTAATTAACCCAATCAGCTAACAGCTAACAACTATCAGTTAACAGCAATTTACCGAACAGGTCCTATAAACTTATAAGTAGGGTATTAAATTAGCTTTTAAGTTGCATTATAAGGTCGGTCCACTCTATCTATCTTTCAAGCTTGTTGAGTACCTCAAAATTCCATTCTTCTCCAACAAGGACAACCATCCATTTTTCCATTATTTCTAGCTAACTCAACTCACCTTTTTGTCTCTCTCTCTCTCTCTCTCTCTCTCTCTTCAGTCCTCAAGCTATACAAGTAACCCTTTTGGATCACTAATAAAGCAACCTTTTTTTTGTTCACATTCACATACCAAAAATCTTGAAAACCCTTGTTTGGATCCATGTCTGAAAACCAGTTTTACCATGATCACACTAGGTTTAATCCGTTCTTTGGTGACGGCGACGATGATCATCGAAACCCTTCTCTGTATTCATCGAATCCCCCGCACCCAGAATTCGATTTAGCCTCGATGACGTCCATGGAGTACAACGGCAACAACGTTCTTTCCAGTTCGGCTTTCCCCACGTTGCTCTGGTCCTCCTCGTCGACGAGGTCCGAGGTTGTCGGCCCTCCCTCCTCGGACCACCACGTTCAAGAATGCTCTAGAAAGAGCAGCAGCGTTTCCGTTCGGCAGCCGGCGGGGTCTTCCTCCTCCAGTGAGGCCGCCGGAGGCGGCGGCGGCGGAGGAGAAGAAGATTCTTCAAAGAGCAGCAAGAATCTAGAGTATGAAGGCGGAGAAGACAAGTCCAAGAAAATGTAGGTTTAATTTAAATTATTTTTTTAATTTTATTTCATTTAATTCTTTGAGTGACGAGGAAAATCAGTAACTGCTACTTTAGTATTTGTACTGGACAAACTTTCTTCTAAACCACGAGGAGGTAAATTAAACCAGACTTGTTTATGATTGACCGACTTAAAACAGAAGGTTGAGTCAATAAGTTGCTCATTTAATTTGTGTTCTAAATATCTTTACTGCAAGCAAGAATGCTGATTGATTATTTAACTGGTATATTTTAGCAGGCCAAGGTGGATTAATTAAGTTAATTAATCAGAGTTAGTATGCTTAGTTAAAGGTGGACTATTACCAGTCAACTATTTTTAATACCAAAATTTCACTGAAATTAGTAGGAATTTTCTCTTCTCAAATAATCATTCATTTTAATGAATATTACCTTTTGTTTTGGTTCTCCCCAGGCCACAAATTCAATTATTTGGTTAATAATGATAAAGTCTTGGCATGATACGCAGAAACCCTAATTTTGACCCATATGGCAATCCGTTTTTTGCATATATAAACTAGGTTTAATTTGCTGCTAATTCTTTCAGGAACAAAGGAAAGAAGAAAGAGGAGAAAAAGCAAAGGGAGCCTCGATTTGCCTTCATCACTAAAAGTGAGATTGATAATCTTGAAGATGGATATAGATGGAGAAAATATGGGCAGAAGGCAGTCAAGAACAGCCCTTTCCCTAGGTTAGTTGGTTTAATCTTTTTTTTTTTTTTTTTTTTTTTTTTTTTTTTTTTTTTTTAACATACTACACCAATATTTGCATTTTCTTGGTCAGTCAATCCACTAGTTAGTTCCTTTTGAGGCAGCTCTCCCAAAGGAAATAATTTTACAATTTACTCAACTAATAATCTACATGTTGGCAATTGCATCAAACTATCCTACATAAGCAGATAATACTTTTTAGTGAATGTGTAGTACATTTTCATTATAATTTAAGCGGAGGGTTCAAGCCAGTAAAAGACTATAAGAGTATAAGGTTGTAAACTGGCTTAAGTATAATTGTTCATAGTTGACTGTCTTAAACTAAGAAGGCCAATAGCTAACTCTCTCAAGAGAGTTGATATATATTTGAATCTTGTGGTTATAATTATGAAGTCAACTATTCAACTAACCTAGTTGGAGTTGTCCATAGTAATAGAATTCTTGATTTAGGTGAATCCCACCCATGGGAGATATTTTGTGTTGAAATTTTACGGGTAACCGATAAATATAGGTATTTTTGTTGCAGCATATATGGAGTATATACAATTTTAAGAAAACCCCAAAATTCTTTGGTAATAAGGTTAAGGCTAAGGCATAGGTTTTTGTCTTTGCTGATATTAAGGTTTTAGTCGTCCACATTAAATACCAAAAAGTAAGGAAAAGTATGATGCAAAGGTTGCGTGTAAGCTAATCACAACCTACGTACCATATTTACATAGGAGCTATTACAAATGCACCACTCAAAAATGCACAGTGAAGAAGCGTGTGGAGAGATCGCACCAAGACCCAACCACCGTCATCACCACCTACGAAGGCCAGCACAACCACCACTGCCCCGCCACGCTCCGGGGAAACGCCGCCGCCATGCTGTCTTCGCCGCCCTCCTTCTTCCCATCCTCAGCGCCGCCCTTCCCCGGGGACCTCTTCGCCAACCAAATGTACCCCGCCGCGCCGCATTTCCCTCCTCCCATAATGTACAATTATCAGCAAAGCCACGGCAGCCTCATAGGCGGCCAGCCACCGCCGCAACCGCAGTTCGATTACGGCTTGTTTCAAGAAATGGTGGCGTCGTTGGTCCACAAACAAGAACATAATAATCTGTGAGGGTTTTTAAGGATTGTTGTTTTTGTTGTGTGTATAAGTGTTGGTTGAGCATGGAGTGATGATTACTTTGAGAGTATTGGCTTAGCTTGTTTTCGTTGAACTCATGATGAGGATCCTTTCCATGTTGATACTTAAAAAGTAAGGAAATCCCCCCTTTATTATCCACTAAAATTTTTGATTTGTTATAATATTTTAAAAATATTTGAATCCATATATAACTATATAAATTATAATAACGAATATTATATAGTGCGATGCACGCACGATGTACAAATAAAATTTTTTATTATACATTTAGATAATAAAATTAGAGATGAAATTATAAATTATTTTAATATTTAAAAGTGAGTCTCTTTAGTTATTTGTACCCCCCATTCCTGATGTACCGACAGTCTTAGGGTGTGTGGTTTATGGATTTACACATCAGAATATGAATCAAAATTATAGTTAGTATTTGTTTGACAAATTGTTAAAACACAATTATGAAATTTGATTATCTCTTCAATAAACAACTCCATTTCGTAATTAATAACATGCATCCTTTCATCTTATTGGTTATTTAATTTTTAAGTTTGAATTAACGTTTTTAGATTTTTGTTTTGAATTTTTTTTATATTAATGATATTATTGTATTAGGATCAATTGTCTTAATTTTTCGTTTTTGTATTTTTAAAACTTTGTATAGGGTCATATATAACCAAACATTAATATTATATTGTTAATCTTTTTAATCACACATACTACTAAACATGTAAAATATTTTCACCAAAACTCATTATTATTACAAGTATTTGATTTTCATCCCAATTCCAATTTCATGTGCGAACCAAACACGATTATTGGTTATTGAAATTCGTGTTGAACGCCGGAAAGATAAAATTAAACAACTGTTTAAATAATGGCATTATTTCATTTCATTATATATTATTCTTTTTGCAGGCTGAGCTCTAATCTTCTTATCTGCCTGCATCCATGCTATAAGCCACCCGCGTATATACTAATTGTTATATCATAGACTAGGGTCCACCTAATATTATAAGTTATGGTTCAAAAATTATACGTGTATACAGTTAATAAATTATGAATTTATAAATTAAATAAATTAAAGACATATGTTAAATGTAAACACATAATATGTTAACTTATTATGTGTTTAACTGTCTATAGTTAAATATTATGTTTTTTCAATTTATTTACAAGCATATAATCTGTTAACGGCAACCGACAAACACATAATATATTTTTACTACAGATACATAATTTGAATATTATTTGTACAAAAGGTCTACAATGCAGCAATGTGAACATGGTCCATAATTCCTTTGATTAATAAAGTTTATTGTGAGTTATAAAAAAAAAAATGGTCCATCATATAATTTGCCCATATATATATATATATATATATATATATATATATATAGACACACACATACCCAGAATGGCATGTATTATTTTTTTGTCAAATCACATGCTTCTTCAGTCAGAATACATTAAAACTCATACATGAAAACTATTACAGGGCGTTTGGTTGGAGGGGAGGAATTATGTGGGAAAGGAATTGTAATTCCATGGGAGTTGAATTACTGGAAATAAAGTGGGAATTTAAATTCCAGTGTTTGGTTGACAGGAATAGAATTACTGGGAATTTCAATTCCAATGTTTGGTATACATGGGAATTGAAAGGGAATAAGTAGTATAAAGTCAAAAATGTTCATTATTGTTGTTAGACATTTATTTTAGGTTAAAAAAGGAATGGGTAATTTTGACTCATCACTATCTTTTTTTCCCAGGAATTAAAATACCAGGGGGGGACATGGGATTTTAATTCCATGAAAATGGGGGAATTGCAATTCCATGGAATTGCAATTCCCTCCAACCAAACTACGGAATTTAATGGCCTTTGGAATTAGGTGGGAATTAAGTGGGAAGGGAATTTAAAATCCCTCCAACCAAACGCCCTGTTATTGTTTATATTAGGTAAAACCTTAAAAAATGATAATCACTTTTTTATAAATTTTAAGGTAGCTATGTTCTTAAAATCTCTTATTAGATTGAAAGAGGCTGATCATCATCTCATCCACACCATTGATAGAATGCCATGCATTTTTATTTTTATTTTTATTTTTATTGGTATACCTAGGATTTTCATCGTCGAACACCTGACTAATTATCTCGCTAAATTGTAGACACATCTTTTAAGTAAAACAGTTGGCCTGAAAATTTAAAATTGCTCCATATATATCCAAAAGAGTTAATACCCAAAATCGTCCTCGACTATAGTGGTTTTTCTCAATTTCGTCCTAAACGACTTTGGTTACCTAATATCGTCCCAGACTTTTGTGTTTCGCTCAATTTAGTCCCAGACTTTTGTGTTTTTGCTCAATTTAGTCTCTCATTTGTTATTCTGTCCATTTGGTGCTAAATAAATAGACAATTCAGTAATTTTAATATTGGCATCTCTTTACTCATAGACATGTGAACTGCGAAATCCCTTTTTTTTTTTACGAATTACTCCCAGAATTACTCCTAAAACTGCGAATATAAAATTTGATTTGTAGGTCCGGGAGTAATTCTGGGTGTAATTCGTACAAGAAAGAAGAATTTCGCACCTCACAAGTTGAAAGTAAAGAGAGATCAATATTGACATTATTGAATTGTCCCTTTATTTAACACCAATTTGACAGAATAACAAATGGAGGACTAAATTGAGCGAAACATAAAAGTCTGGGACGATATTAGGTCACCAAAGTCGTTTAGGACGAAATTGAGAAAAACCACTATAGTCGAGGACAATTTTGGGTATTAACTCATATCCAAAATCAATAATCAAACCCTTTTTAGTCAAGGACAATGAATGAGTTTCTTTCACTCGACTACGCCTTTCAGGTTAATACCATGCATTATTGAAAGTGCATGTAAACATTTGTGGAACTGTGGAAGTAAAGAAGACCAGAGAACACAGCACATGCATGTATTAAAAAGGGAGCATGACATTGTTGACCTAATTTGTGAACTAAACAGGCTGCCTGATCAGTGAAAAGTCATGGAGTAATTATAGCCATGTAATTCTCAAAAATAGTTCAATTCATTATATTTATTTAATTGCTCCCTTACCACAATTATATATTTGAATTTTCTTGAGTAGCCTATAAGCTCTTCATCATCTTACCAACTTGTATTTATGAATAAGTGACTATTATCTTGGGTTAAGAATAAACGTGTAACTACTAGCATCAAGTAACACATGAGGTATAAGAACATCTCAACAATAACACAAATTATATTTTTTAGATTTGTTGGGTGAGATAGATGGAGGGGAGAGAGAGTATCTCATAATATTTAAGACTTTTTATCGATATAAGAAGAGAGAGAAAAATTAACTGCTTAGATAGTGTACGTTTTGCACACCAACATAGCCCATCGAGCATGTGCAGTGTACGTGCCCATTAATCGTTTTAAGCTAAGATGATCGTCTACCGATTTAAAAAAAAAATTAATTTCTTATTGGGTAGATAAAAGTCATCAAGTTAATTAATTTTAATTTGTGTGTTAGCCAAATCATTGGCACGACATATTTATGGACATGAATCTCCAATTTTCCATGTGAGCAATTTCTTGGCATTTTCCATGTTAGAGTAATTTTTTAATCAATCATCTCATTGATTTATGGGATTCTCGCAGTCCTATCTAAAATTATATACTAGGTAAACTTCGCTTTATAATCAGTAAAAATATTATAATGAGATAAATCAGTCTATTACCATAATTGACTAGCTCAAAGTCTCAAACTGAAAAAAAAAAAAAAAAAATCAATAGACATGTTGATCTCATATAGAGTCCTCAATCAACCATTGAGTAAAAAGAATTAATTTTTAATAAGATTTTAAGTTGGAACTTTGTAAATAAATCAATAAGTTTTAGAGAATCTTCTCATATAAGATAGTACCAATATTCAAGTAGAGCTTATTTCCCATTAAATAAGATTTGAATCGGAATGATAAAGGAAAGGCTCATCTAAATAGTGTTCGATAATAATCCGATTATGAATTAATTGGAGTTATAGTAATTTTTTCTAAAAAAAAAAATTAATAGTAATTTAACTCTAGTTATTAAAACTCGATCACTAAATCAAGATATTTTAAGTAGAGGAGATAATTTCTCATTAATGGAGATCGGATTTCAGTTATGCAGAATAATTAAGCTAATGACATTAATTCCCAAGAGTAATGAGAAAGTTCTTCAATGTAAGAAACTTATTATTAAAATTAAAATAGTGAGAAATATTATTTTGATTTTAGGTAAAGTCCTATATATATGTGTGCGCCCGCGAGCGCGTGATAGAGAAAAAGAACAATTCCTTATATAGAAGTAATACTAATCTTAATCGTCTTTTCAGATTCATTAATGATTTTAGCTAAAAAAAAAAAATACATACATAATCAATTTTATAATTATTTTAAACATTTAAGTTTGTAATATTTATAAAACTAATTCCATCATTTTGCTCTTCTATTTTTTTTAATCGACTCTCAAGCATTGATATATCGAAATGGATAGATAGGGGATAGTGATACCATTCTTTCTCGGTCCATAATGGGAAAATTAAAATTTTGATACCAAAATTTACTCTTTAATAAATAGTCTTTTTATTTTAAGATCTTTTTTTTTTATTTACTTAGATTATCATCCATTCTGGTAATCCTAAATTCAAATATTCATAACATTTGGATTGCTTTTAATTAAGGGATAAGTTACAAATAATAAAATTTATTAAAAAATAATTGAAACACCCTTTTTTTAATTTATTGGAAAGCTATGGGTGAAACCCGCTTTGTAATCATAACCAACAAAAGATCACAAAAAGTTAAATCAGTTTAGGTTGTCCATAGCTGACCATCTCAAACCACAAAAGTCATTAGGCAGAGGTTATCAAGCCAACTATCCGACCAACTCAACTAATGTAATACCCATAATTTAGTAATTTATTACAAAATTTTTTGTTGATAAATTTGATTTTTTTTGTAATGTTGGTATTAAAAAACTCTATCCAAAGCTTGATATGACCCACTTCTTTTTAGTGTAGAATTGATCTCTCTCTAAATATAAAAGGCAACAACCTATTTGTTAGCCTAGAATGAGGAAAAAGATTATGTAAGAGAAAAAAAAGAGATTAAAATTAGGGAAAATGATGCCTTACTTAGTGGGATTATTCTCGTTTCTCATTTTATTATAAACATACTATATATACACATATATACACATATAAATAAATTAGGCTATGAGTAGGTTAAGGAATAAAAAATCAGAATCACAGAATCAAGAATATCAGACAGGGGAAATGGCCTCCATACCAAGTTGTTTCGGAGCTTTCTATGTTATTTTGTTGGCCATTTCCTTCACTGTTGGCAATGGTGCAAAACTCTTACCAGCAAGGTTCTTCAATGTTTTGGACTATGGTGCTGTTCCTGATGGAAGAACAGACAATGTTCAGGTAATTTATCCTTAAATCTTTCAATCACCAGAAGATTATAACAATAATGTTTTTTTTTTTTGTTTAATTAACGTTTGAAACCATAATAATGTTTATATGCTCTGAAATGAAGTTTCTCCTCTGTTTCTCTCTCTCTCTCTATATCTGTGTTTGTGTGTATATATATATATATGTGTGTGTGTGTGTTTTTTTTTTTTTTTTTTTTTGCATCACTGAGGCAATATTGAGTCTAACTTATAGGTTTTGATCCTCAAAAAAGTCTTTGTAGCTATCACATCTGAAGGACTAATGTGTAGGGCGTGTATATTATGTTTATTGAACTTGTATAAAAAGTTGAACAATTTTTGCCTATTGGCACTATGTGTTAGACTGATTGACACACATGTCGAGTATATTGTGCTTATCAACATCAGCGATTTGCCTAGTTGTATCTAGTTTTTGTCGTTGATCGTAATTGTTTTCACCCAACTTTAAGTTGGGCGACTTATTATGACTGCAGATTGAATGAAAGCAGCCGATTGACCTTCCAATTAGCTATAACTATAAGCAACATAGGCTGCACACCTTCGAGTAACAATTGAGGGTTTTCTCAAAAATCAAATAACCTTTTTTTTTCTGATTGTGATTTGATTGTGTTGTGATGAATTCAGGCATTTCTAAGGGCATGGGATGATGCTTGCCAATTTTATGGGAGGAGTAGAGTTTGGATTCCCAGGGGGGTGTTCAAGTTGGGGTCAGTGATATTTAGTGGACCATGTAGGGCATATCAATTGGCCTTCTTGATTAAGGGCACCTTGAAGTCTCCTACAGAGAGGTCTGAGTTTAACACAGACACTTGGATTGGGTTCAATTACATGAACAATTTGGTGGTTAAAGGTGGTGGGTATTTGGATGGTCAAGGTCCTTCTGGTTGGCCTTACAACGATTGCTCCACCAACCCCCAATGTGGCCGCCTCCCCGCTGTAAGTTCACTGACGGTTTATTGATCTCTTTAGTTTATAATGTTATTGTAAAAATTGGTCTATGTGTTAGGCGTTCTTAGACTATGAATATTTCTCCCTATGTACCTGCCTAGTGTCTAACTCAGCCGACTTGACGGCCTAGTGCCTAACTGGGCTGAATTAGGCTGAATTAACTCGTTCATTTCAGTTGAGTTAACCATTTTGATTTGACTTAGCTAATTTTTTATATTATACTACGTATATATAATAGTTGTATAAGTGTCTACGGCTAGGTTGCCTAAGCCCTAGGTGCTACTCTACCATCCGACCGATTAGTGCCTAGTGCCTACTGCAACCATGATTTATACTGATTAATAATTTAGAATTTTATCTGATTGTAATGTTTCTTTTCTTATAATATTGTTTTTGTTTTTTTGGTAGACATTGACGTTCAACTTTGTGAACAACTCTCGAGTGAGTCATCTGAGATCAATCAACAGCAAGAACACCCACATCCACGTCTTTGCATGCAACGGCCTGAGAATCAATCAGGTGAGGCTGACGGCGCCGGCCGAGAGCCCCAACACCGACGGAATCAAGATCGGATATTCCAACGGCATCCGCATCACAAACAGCGTCATCCAGACCGGCGACGACTGCGTCGCCATGGTCGCCGGCAGCAAGAACATCAGAATCTCTCAAGTAACCTGCGGCCCCGGCCACGGGATTAGCATCGGCAGCATCGGAAAGAACGCCGGAGATTTGATCTCCGGCATCCACGTCATCAACTGCACCTTCATCGGCACCGATAACGGCGCAAGGATCAAGACGTGGGCGCCGTCCATGTCGAGTTTGGTCTCCGACATCTTCTTCGGCTATATTCACATGATCGATGTGAGGAATCCGATATTCATCGACCAGAATTATTGCCCCGGTGGTGGCTGTAACAGCTACGTAAGTCCTCGAAACCTTAATTCCCACAAATCCACAAACAAAATGACCCCATCTGGCCAATTTGGCCGTGCACTCTTGTCACTCGATAGTCCGAACCTCTTTTTGTATGAAAAAAATCAATTTGGTCACCATTTTACTCTTTAATTAAGTCGGTCGAGTGAAACAAAGATTAATATGAATTATGGTTTCAATCTGGCCAGCACTTTGTCTCTTGGATTAGTTTGGTGCAAACGAGGATTAATCTAAGTATGATATCAATCTGGTCATTACTTTGCCTCGTAATTAAGTCGGTCCAATGTAAACCATGATTAGTTGGTACGAGTTTAATGATGACTCCTAGGATCTCGTGGTTTAGAACTAAAAAAGATCCCATCTTCCTACTTATAATTATGATCTGTTACCATTTTTTTCTGGGTTTTATCTTTTGCAGAGTTCGGGGCACTCGCAGGTGCAGATTAACGACGTGACGTTCAACAACATTTGGGGGACATCGACGTCGAAGGTTGCGTTGGCATTGGAATGTAGCCCGTTGGTTCCGTGCAAGGATGTTAATCTTGTGGACATAGACCTGAGTTATTTTCGCCGGCGTGAAGGGCCGGCGCTGTCGAGCTGTAGAAATGTGATCGGAAGATCCAACGGGATATTGTCCCCGCGTGGTTGTTTGTAGAGCATTTCGTGGAATTTCATGATTGTTTGAATAATGTACTTAGGACGTGCATATTTCGTGTTTTACATATTAGAAAAGATTTTAGTTGTGTTTAGTTCGATGATTGTTTTTTTTTTTTTTTTTTTTATAACTAGTACAATGTTTGTTGGTGATTCTGAATGAAATGAAATGTTATTGAGCCAAATTGGTGGCCTATTGCCCACATGTCCATTTTATATATACAGAATTTCATAACGCAAGTTACAAAAATTTACAATATAAAACACATACACATGCATTAGGATTCACAGTGTATTGTGAACCCTGATCTATGATATAAGGATTTATTAAGCAAGGTTTGTTTAGTATAGGGGCAAATAACTGGCCCAAGACCCAAGACTATGAGCTTAAACCATAACCTATGAAACCCAAGAACTATATGTGCTTCTATGAGTTCTATCAATTTCTCGACAAAAAATATGTGCTTCTATCCACCTGTTGTAGAGAGACAAAATCCTAAGCCACAAATTATCTTTGAACACCAAATCAGACAACCTAAAACCATAGACCACGTATTTTTGACCACCAACAAAGTTGGTCTAAATAAGTAAAAGCAAACCAAGACTTAAAGTCTGTTAAGATTACTAACTTGTCAATTGGATGGTTTGATCAATTCACAAAATCATAAAATTTTATTAAGAAAAGTTAATTAGCAATTCGTTGAATTTCAACAACCAAAATCATAGAGGATGATGGAACTCTATTCCACTACAAATTTAACCATAAATAAGATTTGTTAAATTATCAAACGTTTAGTAATGGCATTTATTTATTAATTGTTACGTGTCAACTCTCAATTCAAGCAGCATATTGACTTTATTAGTTTGTGTCAGTCAACGGTAGAGTCTACCGGGTAGACAACATACAAGACTTACCTTTTTATTATCTTTTACTAATTATGATCACAATATGAGATTTGCACAATATTCGCTGTTGGAGCGTTGTATAATAACTGTGATTTTCCTCTATCACCCAAAAAAACAATTGTAACAAAAAAAAATTATTGAAAATTTTCTAATACATTCGATGATTTTGAAATAAGAATTAATTTCACATTTAGTCCCACGACTTTGATGTTTTATTACTTTTGGTGCACAATTTTAAAATTTTTTAATTTTGGTGTCTAACTTTGTTATTTTATTTGCTTTGGTCCTTTGAGCCAAATTAATTGCAAAATGTTGTCGAATTTTATATTTTTAGGGGTAAAACCGTCATTCAAATGAAACATCTTCAATATCTAAACAAAATTACTGTAAAATCATATCTATAGATGTTTGATGGATGAGAACAATGAAAAAAACGCGTAGAAACTAGACACATATTTATGAGATTTATAGCGTCGACGATTGTCCAACCTTTCTTTTTCTCTTAATATGGCTTTTCTTTTGTTTAAATGTCAAATATCTTTCTTTGGGATGGCGATTTTGCCCATAAAATATAAAATTTGATAACATTTCACTGTCAATTTGTCTATAGGTAGCAAAACTGATAGAGATAACAAAGTTAGGCACCAAAATTAAAAAAGAGTAAATACCCAAAATGGTCCCTCGACTATAGCTAAATTCACAAATTGGTCATCGACTTTCAATTTCAACCAATTAAGTCCTTAACCTTGCAATTTTAACACAATTTGGTCCTCTGTCTATTTGACCGTTTGTTGACTGTGATTTTTGAAGATATATATGTAATTTCATGGTCCATCGTCGGATTTTTAAGGTTCCGGTTGCATTTCCATACCGCACTGTTACATTTGAATCCATTGCCAAAAGCAACCTACCAAATCCGGTCGCCTTTCTTCATCCTCCCTTTGGATTCAATGTAGTTGAGTGCGTACCAGAGCGAAGAAGACGACGTGTTTCCGAACCGGTGCAACGTCATTCTGGAGGCCTCCACATGCTCCGACGAGAGCTGAAGGTTCTTCTGGAGATCGTCGATCACGGTCAACAAATGGTCAAATAAATGGAGGACCAAATCGTGTCAAAATTGCAAAGTTAAGGACTTAATTGGTTGAAATTGAAAGTCGAAGACCAATTTGTGAATTTAGCTATAGTCGAGGGACCATTTTAGGTATTTACTCATTAAAAAATTAAATTAAATTATACACCAAAAATAATAAACCAAAAATAATAAGAACTCAAAAATCTTGGGATCAAAAGTGAGACGTAAAATGGGCGTGAATACCACCATTGAGCACGGCAAGAAACATCTGGGCACAAACTAGGGAATTTCGGGCGAGCGGCCGAGCGCAAGGAAAAAAGGCGGAAAAAAGCAGGGAAGCGCCCGAGCTGCATTGTGGGGATTGCGCCCAAAAAACGCATAAAGGCATCGTTTTGGACGCTCGCAGCCACCCCTTTTTAGAATTCCTCCTTTTTCTTGGCGGCAAAAAGTGAGAAAGAAACCAAAACCCTCAACTAAAGTGGAATTCCTCTGTACTTGCAACACGCGAACACTGCGAGGGAGAGTAGAGAGCAGAGGCTGTGGAGATGGAAGACAAGGCTGTTGTTGAAGAAGCTTTGGCGACGAGGCAGCAGAAGCAGGTTCTGCTCTTCTACTGTGTAGAGATGGAGGACGTGGCTCGCAAAATCGCTTCTGAGTCTCCTTTCATTCAGCTCCAATCCATTAACTGGAGGTACACCCTTGTTCTCTTTCCCTTTGCCTATGTCTGCATTTTGTTTCGATTCTTTCGTGTAAAAGCTTCAATCTTTATCTGGAATTGGGGTCAAATGTGTCTTCCTTGGAGAGATTCCACCTCTTTGTAGAATGGGGAGTTGATGGATCAAGAGATGAGGGTCAGTTCAGTTGGTTCTTGGGGGGAAGATTGTGGAGAAGAGAAATGGGCAAAAAGTATTGCTCATTGGTTCTTCACTTGAAGGTGCCATTTTTTGACAAAAGTGTAGTTCAATGTCATAAGTAGGATTAAAAATTAGGTCTTTAGAGGTTGAGTGGAAGATTGATTTGGTGTTCTAGGGAAAATATTAGGCCTTTAGAGGTTGATTGCAAGATTGATTGGTGTTCTAGGGAGATGATAATACTTGGTTGTAGAAAGACAATCAATTCTTGCAGAATTTGTTACTGGTGCCATGTAGTTTGATTTCAGAAGCATTTGCACCAATTTATATGACTAGTTGAAATAATGTTTTTGCCTTTCGTGTTCTCACAATTTAATACTCTTCATCTTATTTGGATATGTATTCATAAAGATTGATGTATGGGTTTTCAGGAGTTTTGATGATGGCTTTCCAAATCTTTTTATAAACAACGCTCAGAATATCAGAGGCCAACATGTTGCCTTTCTTGCGTCATTCAGCTCACCCTCAGTGATCTTTGAACAGCTTTCTGTCATATTTGCACTACCAAGGCTGTTTGTTGCCTCTTTTACGTTAGTGTTGCCGTTCTTTCCAACTGGTTCCTTTGAGAGAATGGAAGAGGAAGGGGATGTCGCAACTGCGTTTACCATGGCAAGAATATTATCCAATATTCCCATATCAAGAGGTGGTCCAACCAGTTTAGTTATCTATGACATCCATGCCTTGCAGGTTAGTTTTGCTATTTAAGCTACGTACTTATTCGATATTTGTTTGTATTCATGTATGATACTCTTTATCTCCTATGATTGAGGGCTTTTCTTGATTCCATTGATCTGTCAGCATTTTACTTTGATTTCTTATTTACTCTGGTATTCTTGTTTGCAGCACGATTCCTTAAATCTCCTGATGAAGTTTGAAATTAATTGTTTCTTTCACTTATACCCATTTCTTCATGGTCTGTTAGATATACAAATCAATCAGACTGGCCCTGTTTGGTAAAATAGTTAGCCTATCAGCCAATTTTGGCTTATTTGACAGCTATTAGCTGTTTGACATGGTTAAACAATCAATATGAGTCTTTGATTAATTAGCTTTTTGTAACAACTTATTGCTCCAAAATGCTAAAATTCAAAAAGCTGCTCAAAGTAGTTTTTTGAGAAAATCATTTTGTATGTAATCATCTAACAGCTAACAACTAATTTACCAAACACTTTTCTACAATCAACTAATGCTATCAACTAGTCAAACTCACTAACTCAATCAGTTAACAACCATTTACCAAACACTCCCACTGTATTTTTGCCTTTTTGGCAAATGCACATATAATAAATATGGAATTTCATTCACTTTTACTAGTCAAAAGTTTCAAATTTATCCAATATGCACTATATCTTGTATGTTTGAGGCTGCTATATCTTTTATAAGCCCAAAGCTATGGCGTTTCTTCACCTCATTAACGGTTCTCATGTGCTTCTCTGACCTCCTCTCTGTTGTCTCTTTTTCTGCAGGAAAGGTTTTACTTCGGGGACCAAGTTTTGCCTTTGTTTGAGACTGGAATTCCCTTGTTGAAGCAACGGCTTCTGCAGCTTCCAGAATCTGATCAGGTGGGTGTTTCAAGCTCTCACGTTATTTTTTGTTGTTTGTCTAATATTGACGATTGGATTCACATCGGTGAAACTTATACGGAAAGGATGAGTAACAAACGTTTTCCTTTATGCAACAACAATTGCATTGGTATTGCTTTTACATCTTAGTAGTTTTTGTTTTGCAGATAGTTGTTGCGTTTCCTGATGATGGAGCTTGGAAGCGGTTTTACAAGCAATTCAGCAACTACCCTGCTGTTAGTCTTATATTCAGAACTCTTTTTTCTTTTTTTTTTTTTCTTTATACTTCAAAGAATCTTCAATGTTTGGTATTTGAAAAATCTTAGGTTATCTGCACAAAAGTTCGTGAAGGTGATAAGAGAATAGTCAGGCTAAAAGAAGGCAACCCCAATGGTTGCCATGTGATCATTGTTGATGACTTGGTGCAGTCGGGAGGTACCCTAATTGAGTGCCAGGTATTCCTCTCCTTAATGTAGTCGTGTCAAAGTTTGAATCACACAGAACGGTTTTGGTAGTTTGGCTTTTGTTGTGTATGGCGTTGAACAAAATCCCGTAGGCATTGGTAACAGCTTAGTTTTAAAGCACCAAATGATGTAGAGATAACCAACTTGGTTAGCGTGAGTGGCCGTGCACTC